CTGGGTTGGACAGACGCGGTAGGTGCTGGCCTGCGGAGCGGGGCTGAAGGTCGGGAACTCCCCGCTAGCTGAGGGTAGGTGTCGAAGTTCCTTTCTATGATCTGCGCCTTTGCTAGGACTGCTGAATATGTCTCGAGCTCCATTATCAGTAAGTGTTGTCTGATCTCCGGGCGGAGACCCCACTGGAATTTCCTGGCTTTCGGCCCTCATCCATCAATGTCTCTGGGGCATATCAGCCCAGCTCCAGGAACTTACGGGCATACTCCGACACGGTCATGTTTCCCTGGACCAATTGAGCAAACTCCATTTCCTTCAGGTGTTGGATGTGTTTAGGGAGATACTCCGCGTGGAAGGCCGCTAAGAACTGCTCCCAAGTAGCTGGTGTAGGCAAGGTGGCCCGCTTGAGCTCCCACCAGCGTACTGCTTCCCCTACCAGCATGAAGGAGGCAATGGCAGCCCTCTGCTCAGGAACTACTCCCAAGGTCTCGAAATCTCAGTCTCTGCCAGCCAGTATTAGGCCTCTTCAAAAGAGGATCCCCCTGCAAAAGTAGAAGGATTCAGTCTTTTGTACCTCTCTATGAAGCCGGGGTCGATCAAGGAAGGAGCGGGATCCCAGGGTAGAGGGACTGGGGCCGGCTGAGGGTGAACTAGGGGGCCCTGTGGTGGCACCTGCTGATGTGGTGGGGGTACTGGAATGTGTTGTGGCAGTGCCTGGTGGTACCGTGGCTATGGTACCGGGTCGTACCGCGGCTGTGGTGCTGGGTGGTACTGTGGAGGAGCAGGCTCCTGCCGGGGTGGCTCGGGATCAGTCTGCTGTAGCGGGGGCTCAACCTGCGATAGTGGAGGAGGTCCGAGTAACTCCCTTCTCTCCTCTCGCCTTTGCTGGGCCGCTACGAGGGCTTCCACCATCTCAAATAGTCTGTCTAAATCCTCCCGAAGTGAATTATCTTGGGCCGCTCGGTTTAGTGGGGGCCTTCCTCTCCTCATTTCCGTGTACCTGCATTCACAAGGAATGGTTGAGTAACGATCTATTGGTGAGTATTTCTCTAAGGCACTATCGTGTAAGGGATGAGTCCGAGGAAACGCGGCTCTGATACCAACTGTAACGGCCCCGGAATTTTAAAATGAAATATGTGTATTAAAATGGTCAAATGCGGAAGCGTAATAAAAAATTTTGATTAACATCCCTTACACTAAAATCAAAAACGTGTTCAAAGTATAAAAGAACAAACTAACTAAAAGAGAAACTCGAAAATAAAAGCTATAAATATAACTACGGAGTCTTCAGGCGTCCCCTTCGCCGTCTTCCTGCGGAACGGGCTCGGGAACAATGTCTTCCTGATCTGAAATGGTTAAATAAGGAATGAGCTACACCAGCTCAGTAAAGACATCACACTATCTCACTGTCACGGAGGTAAAGGTGGATAGAAAACACAAAAAGACCAATGGAGCATAATTTACAACAAATTCTTTTATCAATAATAAAATCATTTACCGTCCACTTACCTCGGTGAAGTTCATAAAACAACACACGAAAGAAATAACATTATCATCATCATGAAATCATATGAACTGTATAACATAATACTTATCACGCATTTTGCATTTCAATCATTGCACAACATATTTTTCCTCATTTACCAGCCTACTAGTATCCATGGGGATCCATAGGGGTCCTGCTACCCGTGAACCCTTAACACTTGTAATCAGATTCCAGGGTCATCCCCATACCCCGTCCGGTATGGGCGCCAAAACTATAAACCTCAATACCCCGTCCGGTATGAGGGTGAAACGGGCCGTCCCCATACCCCGTCCGGTATGGGCGCCAAAACTATAAACCTCAATACTCCGTCCGGTATGAGGGTGAAACGGGCCGTCCCCATACCCCGTCTAGTATGGGCGCCAAAACACATAAGGTCTCCATACCCCGTCCGGTATGAGAGATCACAATCCTGGTAGGGTTCCCTACGGACCTGGTCCGTCCATCATCTCCTAGGATATCTAGTCAGGCTGACTACATTATACAATTATCAATTTACATAACCTTTTATTCCCATTTTTCTCAGTCAACATCATCAAATCACACACAAACAAGCAAACCAGTCATTTATGCCAAACAAGACAACATCGGGTTCTCAGTCATTCAACTCATAATCAATAAAACAGTGATATATACACACAAAATTATGAAATGAAAACATCAGACCTCATACTGCATTTAAAACTGTAAAATAGGCCAAACAACAGCTGACCGACAAACACACCAGACTCGGGCTCTATTAGCAACCTTAAATAATTCACACATCTATTAATTCATGAAATACCGTTTTATCATTTATTGAACTTTAATACCGTGATAGAAAATAGGGTGAGGGGTCTTTGCTTGTTTCGGGGTCCGAATACGGCTCTACAGTGCGCCTACAGGCTGTCCCTAATTTTTCCTGAATTTTTTCCAGGCAACTGAAACGCACTACTGGTACCTGCATGTGTCCCAAAAAATCCCAAATTAGACCCAGGGCCCTTTTCGGCCAATATCGCAATTCCGGCACAGCGGCTCCGCCGTGCTCCGGCGACGGCGCCGCCGCTTGCGGCGGCAATTCGCCTCAGGTTGGCCATTTTCGGCCGTTTCCGGCCGAATTCGGCCACACTTGCATTGGTCCCTGCGATAAAACAACCCTAAGGCCCTCGGGGGGACAAAAAATATGAAAAAATCGAAGCTTACCGGCGGCGGTGCTCTCGGGTGCGGCGGCTCTCTGGCGAGGTTCGTGTTTTGGTGATTTGGCTTCGATCAACCTGTAAAGAAAAGAATGGTGATCACGGTGATATAAAAATTGTATCAAACGGAGGCCGGGAAGGGCCTCAGCGGAGGCAAAAATCGAAGAGGGACGCGGCAGCGCCGCTGGGTTTCAGCCGTGTTTTCTGGCTGTTTGGCCGGGATTTTGGCTCTGATTTGGCCACAGGGAAACTCAGCGTTGAAAAACGAGCCGGGGTATGAAATTTACCTCGATCAGCGGTCGGAAAACTCCCCGGTGCGGCGGCGAGTGGCGGCGGCCGGCTCCTCCGGCGTCTGGTTCGTCTTCTCCGGCGAGGGCAGGCGGCTAAGGTTTTTGTGGTCAGGTGTGGGGGTTTTATTTATACCCTTTTGTCTTTTGATCACAGCTGTCCATTTTGATTAAATCTGGGCCTTCCGTGCTTGATTGAATCTGGACCGTCCGTGCGCGTGCATCTGGGCCGTCCGTGCGCTTACATTTGGGTCGTCCGTGCGCACGCTTGATCTGGGCCGTCCGTGTGCGCGGGGATGCATCTAGGCCGTCCGATCGCGCGCACGCGGATTGCCCATGTGGCCCGTTCCCGGGTCGACGTGGTCTTGCCACGCGGCAGGTCCTGGTTGGCCAGGGCTGCTGACTGGGCCGCTGACGTGGCTGCTGACGGGGCGCAATTTTTTTAAATTGCGTTTTGACCCCCGGTTTCCGATTTTCTTTTCAAAAATACCCCCAGAATCCAAATTTTCACCCCTTTTTCCCAAAATCAATTTCAATTAAATCCAAATAATAGTTTTACCTAATTTTATCATTATTATTATTTTATTTTTATTTAATTAAATTAAATTAAATAAATCAATTAAAATTCAAAAATCATAAAATAAATTTAAAAAAATCAAAATAATAATAATAAAAATTATAAAATTAGTGGGTGTTACACACATTGAGAGTCACAGTTTGCTGCAGCTGCTGGTAGAGTTGGTCGGTCCTGTGGTGGCAAGCGGCACGAGGGTGGTGCCCGATTATGAAAGTTGTCATTTTCAAGTTTTTTGTTTCGGCAATTAATGTTGAATAAAGTTTTTAAAAGAGTTGAAGGATTTCTTAACCTTAAGCTCTAATACAATTTAAAAACAATTTTTTTATTGATGTATTTTTCATCGAATATTATAGTTCAAGAAAAAAAATTGATATTTTAACCGATAAAAAAGAGAGATTTCTTTGGCATGTACTTCTTCATAATTAAAGGTATCATGAAATCTTTCCCTTAACTGCAACATATAAAACAATCTGGAATATATATTTTATCACCAACTCTATAAAAAAAAAGTGACAAAGAATATTTACAATATGCATATAATTAGTAATCACATAGTTCAATTAACTATACTTTTTGATAAAAATTACAAACTAGATCAGAATTTGTGATGTGGTGATATCTGGAAGTATACTTTTTTTTTTTTTCAATTTTTATGGCCAACCAAATTAAATTAATAATAAATCAAATTTGGTAGTTATGGTTTAAAATAGAATTAATAAATTGAATAATTAAAATTTTAAATTTTCATTTGTAATAATTATGTTTAAATATATTTTTTTATAATATACACAATATGTCATTATATAAAAATAATTTTCCTTCTTTACAAGAGAGTGAGAATTTGACATTTTAATATTTCACTTAGCCAACAAAAGAATAAATAATTAATAGAAGTAATAAAATATAAAATAAAAATGAACATGGAGGAACACATGGCATGGCCCCACAAGAAGATGAAAAGTGGTGATCCTCTTGAGTTTTAAAAAAAAATGTAATAAAATGCAAAATAAAATTATTTTCTTTTATAAATATATCCAAATTTTCAGTAAAATCTTTAGAATAAATTAAAATATTTACTTTAAATTTGTCCTTAGGTTTTATATATTTATTTTACCTAAGGTTCATATAAACTTATTATTTTCTATAAATTATTATACATTTTAATTAAGTAATACTAAAATTAAAAAATAATTTATTAAAATTTTAGTGCTGACTCTTCTTAATTATGCCACCTAAGCTAATCATAAATTAATCACAACTCAAACACTTTAATCTCTCATAACATATTAATTAATTAATTATAAGTTATTATTATTATTATTATTATTATTTTAGGATTTTTTAAAAAAAAAAAAAAATTGGCTTGAGCTCGGTGAATTACGGCCTCGCTTTGCATCTACTCTTCTACACTCTGTCTCTTTCTTGCAGTAGATCCCAATTTCTCTCTCTGGAGAAACGTGCACTTCGGACGTTCAACATGGCGTCGTCTTGTTAGTGTACTAGGAAAATGCTATTGCTTCCTCTTCTCAACTAGGCCGTAAGCTTAGTAGCTACCATGAATAGGAATATGAGGGAATCTCTGGTTGGAGGGAGGAACATTTCTTCGTCTCTCTCGCACCACCGGAGGGCTCAAACTTTGACCGGATATTCCAAAGATTCCGATGAGAATCTGGATCTATTCTCCAGGACTCGCCGCAGTCTATCTGTTGCCTCTTCCGATGAATCCTCTGATGGTTCGCACGATTAAACTTCTCTCTTTCAGATTGTTCGTTCGATTTTTGTTTTTGTTTTTTTTTTAAATGAATTTTATTTTTACTTTGCTGAGCTCTGACTTCATTAGACTAGGATGCCTAATGGCTTATGAATTCCTCGAATCAAGGATTATCTCTGATTAAAAATTGCTCAGAACCTTTTTTTTAGTCTATTCTTGTCGCCATTCAGTGGGTAGTTTTCTCATATCAACCAGATCGATTTGTAATGAAAAGGATATTCACTGGCTAACAATGATTAATTTTAGCCGCTAATGTCTCAATTCCTAAACGTTGTCGTTTTGGCTCGCTCTTCTTGCAACCATCAGCGAATCCTCTGCTTTCAGTTCTGAGTGGAGGGAGAGATAGAGACATGGACTACAAGTAATTTGTAATTAATGGCTGAATTGGATACTTTCTGAATTCATAGAAGAAGAAACTTGGAAGAGATTTAATTTTCAGTCATATCAGAATATATGGAAGTCTGTAACGAGCTTTGTGGTGCATTAGTGATTTCTCCCGCCCCCGGTAATGGGCTCGCCCTTAAATTTTCTTATATTAGGTTCACTTTTATTGCAGTTTCAGTAAAACTGGGAAGGCTCTCCGTCGGGTCAGCAAAATTGGCTAGGAGCGGGATCGATGATCTTCTCTCATCCACTGATGGAGGAAAGCACGACTATGACTGGTAAAATTGTTGACTTCCACTTTTTCTTAATTATCATTTAGATCCTTCTGTGCCATTGTGATTTGGTCAAATATTATACTATTTCTAAGCTGAACATAGCTTTGTATACTGAAATGTAAGTGGAGGCCGAGTTAACAAAGTACCATATACAGTTAAGAAATGTGAAGAGAAATAAGAAATAGATCTATTTTCAGGTAAAAAGGTAATCTCTTATGGAGCATCCTATGACTCTGTAAAAAGAAAAAAAGAGCATTCTGTGATGTCAGCATTAAATATTTTTGCTTGCACCACTTCATGACAGTACTTATAAGCGGAGATCTTTGTGATAGTGAAGCATAACCTGCCAAATTTTGGATCCTGATAATGAAGCATAACCTGCCATCTTTAGCTTCCATTTTTTGTTTTGAGAATATGAAGAAGAAACCATGAAGACAGGGTCAAAGAAAGTCATTTAGTCTAGCTGAATTCTAGAAGACTAGCATTTTGAACTTTTTTATTTGAATTCTACTTGAAGTTTTTAATTTCATTAGGGTTCTTTTTCCTCTATAACAATATGCTTGTCTATATGGCACCTTTTGTGATGACCTTGGTTTATTTAGTCTGCATATTTTGTACCATGTAAGTGCTTCAGGTGTTTATTAGATTAGTAGTTTCAGGCATGCCTCAAAATACATAATGCATGAACATAACTGAAACATTGAACTTCCTTTGCTTTAACTGAATTTCTATGAAACCGGGTTTAAGTTCATTGTGTCATGTTTTCTTTTCATTTTGTCTAATCTAAAGAGAAAACTTGCATAAGCCCAATGAGATATATTGATCGAATTGTTTATTTACCAAAGATAATCGAGGCTTGAAGACAGTACCCATGCTTTAGCATGTTTAAGCTTCTTATTTTTTGTGATAACCTGATTGTTGTTTCCAGTTATCGCTAAAAGTTTGAACTTAAATCAGCATCCAATGGTTTTTTTTTTTTTTCCTAAGATTTGTAACTTCTGTTGGTTTTTTTGTTTGTTTTTGTCTGTGTTTTTTCCTTTTAATTTCCATAGGCTTCTCACTCCTCCTGGAACTCCCCTTTTTCCTTCATCTGACTGTAATGAATCTCAACCAACACTGGCAGCTCCGAGAAGCAGTTCTTTAGTCAGATCACTTTCTACAACGAAGGCTTCAAGGGTATGAAGAACTTTCTATTTTCTGAATCTGGCTATTTGCATACCTCACACTTGTATTCCTATAATTTACTGTTGATCAACTTAAGACTACTTGAGGTGATTATTCTCTTTTTTTTTTGTCAGCATTTTACAAGTTAAATGCTAAATACATATTCAAAACCACTGCCGAAGATCTAAGATTAGCATTATGTTTGGAACTTATGTACTCCGTAGGAAATGTAGAATTTATTTCCACCTCTACGTTCTTATGTTTAGTTTTACTCTAAAGCATAGAATTTATTTCAATGGAATTGAGCAAGTAAGTTTTAAATTCCATCAAGTTGAACTTTGAAAACAACTTGAGAGGTAGAGAAGAAAAAATTTAATGTGTTTCATTAATTTTTGTTTTTGTTTTTCCTAGTTGAGTTATTAAGTTGATTTATAAAATATTTTAAATTATGATGATATATTTAATATTCACCTGCAATTGAATCTCTTAGTCAACTGGTTTACTAATGAAATGAACTTCATTATTCATTTGTTGCAAACGAACAATAAGAATGCCCCTTCTTGTAAATGATATCTCATGGAATCAATATTTATGTTTAACTCTCATAATTCTATCTTGGCTTCAGCTTTCAGTTTCACAATCAGAAAGCAACCATTTATCAAGGCCATCTAGAAGCAGTTCAGTAACCCGTTCTTCTCTATCTACTTCACAATATAGCACCTATTCGTCAAACAAAGCCTCTTCAATCCTTAATACAAGCTCAGCTTCGGTCTCGTCTTACATGAGACTTTCTTCTCCTAATATCCGTTCTACATCCACTGCAAGACCTTCCACTCCATCATCCCGTCCAACATTATCACGGCCTTCAACTCCTTCAAGAGCTCGGCCAGTCTCAGCAATTAGTTCTGTTGACAGGAGTCGACCATCCCAGAACTCAAGGCCATCAACTCCAACTTCTAGATCGCAAATTCCAGCAAACTTTAATCCATCAGCTGCTCGACCAAATTCTCGTCCTTCAACACCCACTCGTAGGAGTCCAGCACCATCTCCATCTGTAACCCCAAGTTCTACAGCTTCATCTGCACGCTTTTTGTCAAATGGACGCTCTCCGGGATCTCGCCCTAGTTCCCCAAGTCCTCGGGTCCGGCCTCCACAGCAGCCAATTGTTCCCCCCGATTTTCCTCTGGATACACCATCAAACCTTAGAACAACCTTGCCTGACAGGCCAGTTTCTGCTGGGAGGTCCCGCCCTGGTGCTGCTATCCAAACTAAGGGGAATGCAGAAACCACAGGCCCTTCAAATGTGCCAAGAAGACATTCATCTCCCATTGTTGCAAGAGGAAGGCTCACTGAGCCCGTAGGAAAGGGCCGTTTGAATACCAATGGTCTTGTCGCTGATGGATCTGAGTCCCGTAAGGCCTCACATGTGTCAGATTTAGCAACACGTAAATCTGTAAAAACTTCCTCAATTGCATCTGAGAGCACTGGATTTGGGAGGACAATCTCCAAAAAATCACTGGATATGGCTATCAGGCATATGGTATGTATGCTTTCTCTTTCACGTTGTGATGAATAAGATTTATGCATGATTGATTTTTGTCCCAGTTCATACATGCAGTCCAAGCTTTTGTGTTTTTTGATTGAAAATTATTTAGCATAGCTTCTATGTACAATCTACTAACTATAAAATACTTAGCTTTATCTGTCAACTCAGATCTCTGCAACCTGCATTACTAACGCATTCAATTGTTTTATTTTTTTGAACTTTTAAAAACTGAATAAATATCTTCCAGCAAAAAACAAGGCTTATTCTGTAACAGGGAATGCTGATAATATCTTTACCATGGTGTAGGATATAAGAAACGGCTCAGCAAGCACTCGTACACTTTCAAGCACTACCCTATTTCCGCAGAGCATTCGATCCACTACTTCCAAAATCCAATCTGTCCGCGCTTCGAGTGCTACCGATTCCACCAATAGCAACGGAAGCCTGCATAGTGGAGACATTTCAGAGAATGGAAACAATGTTAGCAGGCCTATAGAAAATGGAAGTGAGGCAAATATGGGGAGATACTCGGCAAAATTGAGTGAAGTGGACATCTACGAGAGCTCTCGTTATGATGCACTGTTGCTGAAAGAGGACTTGAAGAACACAAATTGGCTGCACGGTATTGATGACAAATCTGACCAAGGACTTATCTTTGATAATGGGTTTGAATCTCTGCCAGAACCTTTTGATCTGTTATAATACATTAACACCTGAGAATTGGGTGGTATTTTTTTAAATTATATTATGTGGTCATCATTATTTGGTCACTTTGTGAAAGAATGGAATTTGTCAAAGTATATTTAACAGAGAGTCAAGAAGCAGTGTTTTTTTTTTTTTTTTTTTTTTTCTGTTGAGAAGTAAATTATTTTTGGTGTGGGGAACAAAAATATTATGCTGTTGGTTTCTGCTATTTTGCCCGAGAAATAAGGGTGGATCTTGTGGGTGGAGTCTGGATATTGCCAAGGAGCTTGTTTGGTTACTAGTACCATCAGCTTTAACCATTATGATTGATGGGCTGGCTACTACATTTTATGCTCTTATCTGAAAGGTTATGTTCTCTGGACCTATTTTGTCTAAAGACATAGATTTTTACACAATAACAAAAGTTGAAAATTTTGCAACACTCGGTTCAATGTTAGTTACTATTAAAGACGTTTATTTGATTTTAATTCTTTAAAAAATGGAAATATATGTATATATTTACACACACGGAGAGACAACACTTGGCACTTCTGTGGATTATCGCAAAGTATTTCTCAAAACATTTTGCCATGTGTTGAGTCCTGAGTCCTGACACAAACACGGCAGAGTACCACGAATAGTGGAAGTCAAAGTACGAGAAATTGATTGAATAAGAAGTGGGCCACACACTTTGTGATACCGCTTTTAACTTTTCTAAATTATGTAATTAAGAGAAATTAGTATGCAATTAAAGCATGAGGGAATCACTAATGGCCATTTGTTTTTTGTGTTTCCTAGTTATTATTCGTTCACACACACATATATTTATGTATATATGTATATATTTTTTTAATTTTTTAATTATTATTAGATGTCTTAAATTCTGAAATCAATAATCAAACTTAATTGCAATACGGAGACGTTTTCACAACCTCATCCTTGTAATTCATTCCTCCATATTCTGTGGTTCCACAAACCATTCGTCTTCAATGTCTCTCTTATTTCTTCCGTCAACCTCTGCATTTTCTCCTCTTCTTCTCCTTGTCTTTCTTTTACTACAATCAGGAGTCTTGGTAAAGTTTAAAGTAAACTACATTGTACCAGACCAGACTAAACTAGGAGACAAATAGATAATCAATCGGATTAGACCAGTTTCTTTTGAACTAGTCATGATTAATTAAGAATAATTGATGAGACAATAAAAATTAAAATTATGAAAAAAAAAAATACGACAATAAACTATAATTATTTGTCAGATAGAAAAAGTGCTATTTTTTTTATAATATAAATACATTAATATAATAAAATTACCTATCTGAATTTAGATAAAATAACTTACAAACCTAATATAGTTTGAAAAAATTAAAAAAAAAAAAAAAAAAAATCAAATCACATCAAAATCAATAAAACACATCTAATTGAATTCAAATTTAATAAAACACATCTCAAACTCGGTTATTATATATAACATATAATTTAATTTTTATTAATATATAATATATCTTCCTCATTGTCTCTGTCATTTTATTCTTCTTCAAATTTCCTATTATCTTCTTCTTTTCCCAGTCTTCCTCTCCCTCTTCCTCTTCCACTCTCTGCCTCATCTGCTTCAAATCTTCCTTCTCTCCTCTTCCTATCTTTGTCGCATCTCCTTTCGATCTCACACGTTGGATCCCTCTCTTCATTGCTGGATCGTCATTTTATCTCACTGCTCAAGTCTTCATCTTTGATCTTAAACTTGCTTAGGCACTCAGTCTCTCCATTTCAGCTCTTCCAGCTCATTTGGGTTTACATCTGTCACAAACTGACCAGTTTCCATTCCTAGCGCAGAGGAAGATTTAGTAAACATGCCTTCTATGGAAGCAAAAAGATGCCCGTAACATGAGCAAGGATGACTTGAGCTGTAACTTTTAACATGATCTCTTTTCCTACTTATGTGTCTGCTAATTATGAATTCTTTTAATCATTTTCTTGACCCAAGTAGTTGAATTAGTTGTCAAGGATCTTCTCACTGTAGCTGGTAAACACAAATATTGATTATGGGCATTAACCCCTTCTGAATAAGTAACTAATGAGTTTGACCCAATGTCATCTCGTACTCCCTCAAGATCCTGTTGAAATATCGTACCTCATCCTGTGCCTGTCCAAAAATAATACCATCATTTGCAAATAATAAACGTGAGACTAAGGGAGCACCCTGGCAGATTTGAACAGCATGGATAGCTCTCTCCCGTATGACCTCCCAAATCATGGCGTAGAAACCCTTTGCACAAAGAATAAATTGTTTTTGTAAGATAATTATTCACCCACATGGACTCAGAAACAATGTAACACATTCCATTACTAAATACACAAAAGATCAATCAAACCCCAATTTTTTAACATGATATCCCGAAGATATAGCCACACAATTTATTAACATCTAATCTAAGAGTAAAATACTGGGTATTTCTAAAATTGGTACATCTCCTCATAAAATGGAACAACTCTAAACTTACTAATGCATGATCAGTAATCAAGCAACCAAGTATAAAAGCTGATTGAGGCTCGTGAACAATTTCAGACAAACATAATCTCGGCCTATTAGCAATACATTTGGTTACTAATTTCATTACAAAATTGCAGAGACTAATACGACAAAAATCTGAAGAGGTACTTGTATTTTGGTATGGAAAAAATAGAGGTATATGTCACATCTCCTGAAGAAGGAAAATCTAATTTGTAACGAGCAAACTTCTAAAACTCCCGTCAGAAAATCTTACCAGAGAAGGCAAATGAACCCAAAACCAGGCAAGTAACTGGGACCCGCCTGCTACTGACAGTAGGGAAAAAGAACCCTAAATCAAGTACCATAAGTAACCATCTATGTAATTAATATGTCCACTTCCCTCCCTGCAAATTCACCTACTCAACACGGAGCTTTTAATAAACTTCCAGCTTATACTGATATAATTATAATGGAGGAGGAGGAGGAGGAGTTAGCATCGAGATCTGCGTTCCACACTTTTTTGTCCTTGAGCATTTGCTTCACGAAGAAACTTCGCAACGGAACGTTGGAAACTCTGCTACCGAATCTGGAGCTGCTTCTTTTTACTATTTTAATCTTGTACGTACGTCTTCTTCAAGAATCTGCAGCTCCTCCTTTTTACTCTCTTTAATCTTTTTACTCTTTAATCTTCTACCTCTTTCTTGTTTTTTTCGTATGCGTATTTTTGAAGAAACGCCGTTAAAGTTTATTCCACCTCTCTCTCTCTCTCTCTCTCGTTTGCTCGCTATTTTATTCGATGCTGCCACTCGCCCGAATTGTGAGTATATGGTGGCCGACATGCTCATTAGAAGGTTTGACTTGTTTTTTCTCTCTCCCTAATTCAAGAAATTTTCTGTTTAATTTTCTTCTTCATGTTTTTCATCATTGCTCACATGCTCTGTTTCTTAACTGATTAATAAAAAAGAATCTGTGTGAAATTTGAAAATGAAACAACTTAATTTGTATATTATAGTACTTGCTGGTTTTGAATGGAAAATTAGGAAACCATTCGCGTAAGGAAATCAGTTGACGTTCTTCTGAATCTTCTGTTATTATGCCTGCAGAGTAGAAACCCCATGAAGCTACTCTGTGTTCTACTCGTGTTTTTGATTCCCTTAATATTGGCTGATTTGAATTCCGACAAGCAAGCGCTTCTGGATTTTGCTGCCATTGTTCGTCATGGTCCAAAACTCAACTGGAATTCCTCTAATCCACTCTGTACTTCTTGGATTGGTATCATTTGCACGCACGATGGCAGTCGTGTGTTCTCCCTGCGCCTTCCTGCTCTTGGATTGCGAGGCTTAATTCCACCAAATACACTTTCCAAGCTAGATGCTCTCAGAATTCTTAGCCTCCATTCCAATCGTCTCACGGGGAATCTCCCATCTGATTTAACCTCTCTCCCTTCACTCCGATACTTGTATCTTCAGAGCAACAATTTCTCTGGTACTATTCCATCATCTCTATCTCCTAATCTGATCGTCCTTGATCTTTCCTTCAATTTCTTCACAGGCAACATCCCACCCACTATTCAAAATCTAACTCACCTTACTGCTCTAAGCCTACAGAATAATTCTCTTACAGGATTCATCCCTCTTTTTCATCCTCCTACTCTTAAGCGTTTGAATTTGAGTTACAACAACCTCAATGGTCCAATTCCATCCGGCCTCCACAATTTCCCTCTTTCCTCCTTTGAAGGGAATCGTATGTTATGTGGTGCACCGCTAAACCACTGCTATGAGATTAGCCCATCACCGTCTCCTTCCCACTTTATAATCCCTCGGAAACCAGGAAATGGCTCCCAAAGGCTACTCAGTACAGGAGCCATTATTTCCATCGCACTTGGGGGCTCCGCCATACTCTTCTTTCTACTCCTGATTGTGTTGATCTGCTGTTTAAAGAGAAAGCAAAGTGAAGCGTCGAAAGGGAAAGGTACGAATAAGGAGAAGGCAAAGGAGGAGTTTGGGAGTGGGGTGCAAGAGGCTGAGAAGAACAAGTTGGTTTTCTTCCATGGGTGTTCCTACAATTTTGATCTTGAGGATTTATTGAGAGCCTCAGCTGAAGTTCTTGGAAAGGGAAGCTGTGGGACAACCTATAAGGCCATTTTGGAGGAGGGAACTACAGTGGTTGTGAAGAGGTTGAAACAAGTGGTGGTGGGGAAAAGGGATTTCGAGCAGCAAATGCAAAGTGTGGGGAAAGTTAGTCACCACCCAAACTTAGTTCCTCTTCGTGCATATTATTATTCCAAGGATGAGAAGCTCCTAGTTTACGACTACATTTTAGCTGGAAGCCTTTCTGCATTACTACATGGTATGCTTCCTCAATCATCAAACACAAAAGGCGACTCTTCTTTTTCCAGACCCTTTGATATACTATTCTAGAATAATTATTTATAAATTACTTAATGTTACCTTATTATGATATGCAGCTTTTTCTAGAGTTTGAGAACATTTTGAGATCTTATTCTCCCTATTCTTGTATACTTTGCAACTTCACAGGAAGCAGGGGAACTGGACGAACTGCAGTAGACTGGGAATCCAGATTAAAGATTTCCCTTGGATCTGCAAGAGGCATTGCCCATATTCATTCTGCTGGCGGAGGGAAATTTATCCATGGCAACATCAAGTCCTCAAATGTCCTTATCACTGAAGATCTCTATGGCTGCATATCTGATTTTGGTACAACTCCTCTAATCACTTTCCCAAGTGTTCCATCTACAAGTACTGGATACCGAGCTCCTGAGTTTATTGAAACTCGAAAATTTACTCAAAAATCAGATGTATACAGTTTTGGTGTACTCCTGCTGGAGTTGCTGACAGGGAAAGCACCAGCTCAATCAGCCGGTCAAGAAGAAGTTGTCGATCTTCCAAAGTGGGTGCAATCTGTTGTCCGAGAGGAATGGACTGCAGAGGTGTTTGATGTGGAACTAATGAGATTTCATAATAGTGAAGAAGAGATGGTTCAGATGCTTCAGATAGCAATGGCCTGCGTGGCGAAAGTTGCAGATACCAGACCTACAATGGAGGAAGTTGTTAGGATGATTGAACAAATCCGGCCATCCGAATCAGACAATAGGTCATCATCAGAGAGAAGAAGCCCAAGGACTCCAATTTCCAGAACCCCTTAATTGATTTATCCATGCTATTCCTAAACGGCTATTCCCAGGTTGAAGACATCATAAACTGCTGCTTCAGCCAAATTCCACAATGGAAGATTTCAGGCACTAGTAGACTATCCTAAAATAAAGAGGCCTTACAGTAGAGTGATTTTTACCTGTAACATTTGTCCAATAGTGTGATTCTCTCTTCTTCTGAGAGAAGAGTAGGCTATGATAAAAATTATATTTATTATTGTTTGTTTTCCACTCATTGTCACTTTTCCTAAAATTGTATTTTAATTCTTATGTATATTTTTTATTGGACAATTTGCTTTCCACCCCCCAAAAAGTAATGGATACTCACTCATTATATGTATATGTTTGTAAATACAGCTATTTTCTCGATCTGTCAATCTGCCTAACTCTTGGTCACTCTATGTCACCCCTATACATAATCAGTATACACACGCACCTGAGAGCTTAAATAACATTCATCATCAAATTTCACACAACTTTATGCAGTCAGGATCAAGACCGTATCATTCAATTTAAGGCCACCATGGTCAAAGAAATAATACAATGCGAGCTTCTAGTCCGTTAAAACTAGGGAATCTGATTTGCTATTTTTTTCCTTCATTGGCTTTCTTTTCCTCCCTCCAGGTAACTTATATATTCCCACTATAAAAGAATACAAAATGGCCCAATTAGACCTACCTTTCTCTACCTCCAACCTGTATTACTTGTGCACGACCAAAAAAGATATATATATATATCATACTAACAGGCTAACTTAAATTTACTGACTTGTCTAAAGAATTCTTCGCTGCCAAGTCAGCTCCACTAACATATTTAGCAACAAATGACACCAGCCGGAAAGGAGCACCAATCAGTGGAGCATCTGAGAGTGCCACTGCTGCCTGTTTCTCTCTCTCAACAGCCTCTGATTCCAAAACCTGAACTTCATTAGCATCTGACATAATGTGCACAATTTCTCCAGATTCTCCTTCACTAGGATTTGATGACATGTCAGCAACCTCCACATTTTTACTATCATCAATTTTCTCATGTTGGACGAATGCATCTTCTACAGACTCCAGCTCCTGTCCAGGTACGTACATATTTCCATTTGGTATAGACATATGATCAGCCGCCCTCTCACTCTCAGCCATTCCAAGCTGAGGATCAGGACCCTCAGTAGATGAAGAAAGCATTGCAGACATGCTTTGCTTGTTTATCTTAATACACAATTCATTCACCTGGAGACGAGGAAGAAATATGTAAAATTCCACAATGGACTACATTCTAAGAGAATAATAAACTTCGCTTATATATTGTCCGGGTAAAGAAGGCTTTTTGCAAAACCATCAACACGAATTAAGAGATTGGCAAATAATGGGGAAGATAAAAATAGGAAAGAAGGCAGTTAATTACCTTCTCGACAAGCTCTGCGTTTTCTGTGATCAACTTCTCAACCAGGACGCATGCTGCTTCAATTTGAGAGTTGAGCTCCTCTTTGGAAGCAGCCTATATTGATTAAACAATTATTTAGATCAGCAGTTTGCCAGAATATATCCGTGATATTAATTATTCCCTTCGAGATAAAAAATGGTAGAAGTGATATTAATTATTTCTTGTGCATATTTTTCATCTTAGGCATTCCTTAAAGAATGGACACCAAAATTCCCATGCCAGATTGTTGCACCAAATATTTCCAACATGAAAGAGCTGCCAAATGACTCAAGGCTGTCTTTGGAACAAATAAATAATTTCTGTAAAATTCATTTGGAATTCACATTAGTTAACTACAAAGTATGAAGATTTTTTACAAAACAATAAAAGTTAACCTCCTAAAATCTTAAGTTGAATTGGAACTATACACTCCAAATTTCATCAAAATTGTTTGAAATTTGTTGTTTCAATACAGCTTAAAAGACTCTAGGAGATTAATTTTCATCAGTGTATAAAGAATTTTCACAAGTCATTGAATGATGTGTCAATTTCCAAATGAATTCCATGTAAATCATTTATTTGTTACAAACATAGCTCAAATCCCAAAAATACGATAAATATAGCAGATCTTATTATGGTCCAAAATATAAAAAGCGAAAGAAATAGAAAGAATCACAAGAAGCAAACCTTTCTAGGTTCATATGCTGAGTGAGCAGAGGAAATGGATTTGTCAAGACTTTGAAGCTCCATCTGCAGCCTCTTTACATTTTCAATTAGCTGTTGGTTTTCTTTTGAGAGATCGTTCTTGGATTCTTCCAACTCCACAACCTGCCGGGCTTTGTTTCAATTTCCACTTATTAGAAAAAAAGAACTATCAACTATCCAATAGCCAATGAAACCAATTGATGATTAGAAATTTTAAGAAATGTGAAGATCTTTTATTAGTAGCTATATCCTAAGAAAGGCAAGAAAATAATATTAACTCAAAAAGTATACCAAATTACCTACACAAGCAGGCTAGCAGGTTCCTATGAAAAATCCTTATCCAATTGATTCTTAGCACTAATTTTATATAAAATAGAACAAAAAGAAAATCAAGTACCTGCATTTGTAGTGTCGTGATATCATCATTCAGGCGAGCATTTGTTTCTTTGCTTGCAAGCTGTAAAGTTGTAAATTTCCACAATGAGAAATGAATACATCAATTGCCCCTATGCCTGACTTGTCTCGATAAGGTTGAAAGCTAACAAGTTACAACAACAAAGATTCTCTTCATAATTATGTATATACAATCATCTTTATCAATTTAGAGCAGAGACCCTTGCCCTAAAGACCTTGCTTTTCATATTGTTCCAGAAATATTCCATAAGCCAAATATTCTTGAATATTCGGTGTTTCATACCCGCTACTCCAGCCAGTATCTTTTTTTTAGATGAATACTGATGTAGGATAGAGAACAGAAATCGAGAAAGAACAGGGAAAGAGTCAGACAGTAACGAAGTTTTTTCCTTTTTTTCTTTTAAAGAAAACATTAAAGATTTATAAAAAATAAAGGGGAGAAAATCCTGAGGGGAAGCAAACAGGTAAAAAGGAGTTGGCAAAAGTTCCGAAATTATACTAGATTAGAAAAAACATCATCCGACATAAAACTTAGTCTAGAGATTAATCCCATCATAATGGGTGTAAATCACAACCAGAATAGCTAATAACCAGATCCAAATGACATCGAAATCAATTGACCCAGAAAAGAATGTATAAAAGGTGTCCTAATTGAATTAAAACTATTAGCATTAATCCTAAATAAATTAAAATACTAAATAATTCACATAAAAATTCCCAAGACTAGAAATGTTCAATCTACTTTGTCTTCTTTTTGCATCATTCTCCCCTTCTTGGAGAAAACTCAGCCTCCATTTCAGAAGTGACAAAGCATCAAGAATGGAAAAAGAAATGGAACAAGCAATTCAAAACCTTAAGACTTGCAATAAATGTATTTATCCATGATAAAGCAGAAATAATGGTGCAAAATTTTGATCTGCTCAACATGATCAGAGGGTTGCTTCAATTTTTCTTCTTCGCCGGTGCTAATATAGGAGAAACTTCAAGCATTGATTCTTCCAGGATAAGTATTAGCTAGAAACTTCAGCTCATCTTGTAATTTTGCACAAAATCCAACAGATCTTCAACTTCCAAACACAAGTCATACTCAATGTTCAGCCCTCGTGAATGCATTGATACTGACTATGAACTTGAATAGGCAAAAGTATATTAATTCTTTTATAGATCCATAGGCGTCAAAAAACTTGATATAACACATACTTCCAACTATGATAAACTATATGATGGATTGTACCAAAAGAAGTCAATTTTAACCCCATTTTAAAGCGTCATACTTTTCTCTTTTTTTTTTTTTTTTGAATCCCTTTTCTTTATCTTTTTAATTAGCATAGCAAGAAAAAGAAATATTAGAAAGTAGCTCAAAAAGTGTTAGGTTAGTTTATGTCAACCTGAGTTGAACAGCTTATATAGGCTTGAATCGGATAGCTCAAACAGATCTATTTGAAATCGCTCATAGCTTTCAGCATGTGTAATGCACAGTGGCTTTTCAGTGACATAGGACAAATTAGGATTGTTAGTCTACCTAAGTTTTGGGGTATAAAAACCTAGAAATTACATCCAGAGTTTCATATCACATCTAAGAAGTTTAAGCATCAGATCTAAAGGTTGATTGCATTATACAACCAAAAATTTGAAAAAAAAAAGTCTCAAAATATTTATTGAATAAATGAAGTTGGTCTCACAACCAAAAATTATTACGGCACTTGAGTGCATCTTAATTAACCTTTCCCACATACAATTATATTAAGAAATACTAATATAATTAGAAAATACTACTACTGATAAAAAAGAAAAATTAAATACTGGAAAGAATATGTCAACTGCCTAAAACAGATGAAATCTGTAAATATACAATACTGCAAAATCAAACTGATCAATAAAATAACTCAAAAACAGAATAATAAAAAAAAACAGAATCATGGCACATTTATGATGCACTATATCCAGAACTAGATAGAATCATGCAAGATTACTTTTTCTTTTCTTGGGCGCATGTGTTCCACCTGTACATGTCTTTTTTTTTTTTTTTGAAAGAAAGGGTTCCACCTGTACATGTCATGACAGTAATTGCCTATATTAGAATTGACTTCTCTAGTTGTTTAGTTTCTTCTTCAACTAAGCTGGCCTGTTTGACATCATACAAGTTAATTTAGCATTTCAAACCAATTTCCCAGGAAGTATTCTACCAAAGCAACTAGCCAAAATAAGAAAAAGCACAACAACAAGCAACAGAACCAAATTAACTTTCTATTACGTTCTTCACTAAAAGACTTGATTAAATACAAAACATTACCTCTTTCAGTTGCAGAGTGGCAATTTCCTCCAGTAACTGACTAATATTTTCCTCCAAACCAGCCTGAATGCAGCAAAACACCATCTTACCAATTCATGATATAGTGTCTCAAGATCCTTAAAATACTATTCTTCACGAGGACAAAATTGAGAGATAAAGTCAACAATGTTCATATGACCCTATTGTCGGAAGAAGCAAACAGAAAACGTAAATAAAGAACTTCTAAATTTCAAATATCACAATCATTCACTCTAAATTTCCTCTTTTGATGTCAGAAAATTTTTTTTGTTCATCATTAACATATAAATAATATATTGGACTCATTTCTATAAGCTTAAGTTTTTAGGATAACTGGCTACAACCAATTTTTTTCACGTAATGTTAGAGCCAAAGAACTAGATTTCATATCCTAGCTGCTGCTCCATTCAGTTATTTAAATTTTAGCACAAGGTTGGGTGGGTTACTTGATCTATACTTTCAACTTGGTGAACTTGCATATAAGGGGTGTGTTAATGTGAAAATAATATATTGGTTTCTTTTCTAAAAGCATTTAGGATAACTTACAACAATCAATTATTTCTCATAATATCAGGAAACCTCTTTGAATCTTGATTGGTTTCCTATCTTTACTAATTATTTTAGCATAAAACATGGTGGATTGTGTTTGATCTATGCTCTCAAAAGGTCCAAAATTCAAATCTTTGTTGCCACCCTATGTCTATTAATTAAATTTCATCACAAAGTCTGATGGACCTGTATTTGATCTACATTTCTAACCTCATGAGCTTGCACGTGAAAGAGCATGTTATAGCATTTAAAAAATGGATCTGACTCATTCCTATCAACTTAAACTTGAGAAGTAATTAGCAATCATCAGTTATTTCACATTCATGGTTTGAGAATGTTGATCTCTATACCAGCCTCTGATCATAAGTCCAGATAAGCAAGCCAAATCAGAAAATGCATACACCCAAAACAATAGGAAACAAAGCACAGCTAGTACCAACCTCTTTTTGAATATGCAAACTGTTTTGATTTTGTAATTTTATGATTGTATCTTCTAAGATTGCCTGTCAAAGAAAGTAAATTAAATTTGCCGTTCAGTTGGGGGATAATGAGATAATCTTTGTGCAACTTCAGTTTCTGTCACATTACTTCTTTCTGCATGCATGAGGCATTCTCATTTCTTAATCCTGTGATTGTCTCTTCTAAGATAGCCTATAAAACAACACAAGTTAGTCTATGTTACATATAAATAATTTAAAAGAGAGGGAGGACTGCAGACATTTTGCCCAACTAAGACTTCACAGAGTATTTCCTGTCAGTCTGGTATAGCTTAGTTTTTCTGTACCTCTTTCTTTAAGTGCACATCATTTTCCATTTCTAATTGTTTGATCCTCTCTTCTAAGGCAACCTGTAAAATAACATAGGGAGTTACAACATCATGGCAAAGAGATGAAGATAAAAATATTGTCTAGCATAATTTAGGGAGAGGGCAGGAGTGCAAGAAGTTCAAAAGCCATGAACCTTCTTTGTCCATAATTGGATAAAATTTTATTACCTCCTTTTTCATATATAAATCATTTTTTTCTTGTAATCGTTTGGTTGTCTCGTCTAAGATAGCCTGCTAAAAAGTAGTGAGATATGATGTGCTTCACATTAGATATACATTAGTAGATGTGATGGTTAACAAATTATTGCAAAAACAACACAGATGCATGGACATAGACGTGTGTAAGTAAAAGACGACATAATAAGAGTTAACAGAGTATTTCCTATCAGTCTGCTCTAGCTTATTTCTTCCGTACCTCATTCTTTAAGTGCACATCATTTTCCATTTCTAATTGTTTGATTCTCTCTTCTAAGTCAACCTGTAAAATAACATAGAGAGTTACAACATCACGGTAAATAGATGAAGATAAAAATATTATTTAACATAATTTACGGAGAAGGTAGGAGTGCAAGAAGTTCAAAAGCCATGAACCTGCTTTGTCCATAATTGGATAAAATTTTATTACCTAACTTTTTCATATATGAGTCATTTTTTTCTTGTAATTGTTTGATTGCCTCATCTAAGGTAGCCTGCTAAAAAGTAGTGATATATGATGTGCTTCACATTAGATATTCATTAAAAGATGTGATGGTCAACAAAAAAAACGCAGATGCATGGACATAGACATTTGTGGAAGTAAAAGACGACATAATATTTTTATCTATTTCCATGACTGCAATGAATGTATTACCTCCTGTCTGTATGAATCAGTTTCATTTTTCAGCTGTTCTGAGATTCTCTACAGTGGAAAAAAAAGACAAATTAAATTACTTTACATTCAGACTAAAACTGACAAATTAAATAAGGCAGTCTGACAAGAGGAAATGCATCTCTCAACTCTCACAGCATCTAAAGTTTCTCAGCTTCAGCTAAGAGGGATTGCATCCATATTAAAGAGATGCATATGTATATGTATAGAAATGGTGTTTGACTCACAACCACTTGCACATGTCTATATATATGCGTGTACATTTGTCTAATTATGTATGTATTACGTGTTATGTTGTAAAATGCAATGTAACTTGGATCCCACATAAAAGGCTTACGACTTAGATGTGAAGTTTATATGAGTTTGGCCTCTCCCAGCCTAAAAGCTAGTTTTTAGGGGGTTGTACTCTTAAACTCACATCAATGGTGTCATAGCAATTCACCGCCTCCCAGAGTTGTAATCATGTTGCCATCTGGTAATGTTTAAAAAAAGCATTAATGCAAAGCCAACCTGTGGGTGTTGGGACTGCAGAGCATGGTGGATTGTTATGGGTTAATTGCAAAATAACTTAGTTCCAACATTGAAGACACACAGCTATCGTGTAGGGTTTATATGAGTTTGGGGGCTCCACCATAAAAGCTAGCTTTTAAGTTGTGGTTCTCATAAACTCATATCAATATGCATGTATTTTATGCATCTAGTGCAAATATCAGTGGGGAAACTAAAACTATATATATTTTCGATAAAGAATTTCTAGAATCACTAGTAATGGAAAGTGGTCCCAAAGAATTGTCTTATCTTCAATCAGCATTAGTTATAATTTACCACTACAAAAAAGCATATGTTACAGAAATACAAATAAACATATAGGACTATGATAGGTAGGCAATCTATTTTACCATATGTGCACAAACTTGAAGAAACTATCAAACCCTGTATATCACATAAGGCAGCTTTCTATGAAATATTTGTTACTTCTACTGTGGCAGTACTTATTGGTATCTAGTAAACTGGCACTTATATCAACCTTTCTCACTTCTTCGATTTTTTAAGGACATCCTTTTGTCTAACTTACTGTTATATCCTGACTAATAAATCTAATTATGGGACGATTAACACATAAATCAGTAGGAAGAACGAAGTTCTTCTTTGACTTTCTGTCTTTACCTATTTTTTAATTGAAACTAAGGGCTCACTAGGAAGAGAGAACTCGATGATCTCAAGAGTAAGAAGGTACTCTGCTATAAAATTCTTCTTCATACATAATCTGTCTTAAGGACCACAAATTTGGTTTTAGTACAATAATAGGGTAGTTATTGGAAGTTATTTCCAGAATTTGATAACTACTGTGTCTAATCCCTTTAATTTCTTACTTTTAACTACCCATACTTTACCAAATATTCCTACATAACATTCTTTTTTTTTTTAGATAAAAATACAGAAATGTATTAAGAATTTACACCAAAGAGGTGTCACCCATGTACAAAAGATTTATGTATTGATAAGTATATTTACAATTGCTCCAAAGTCATCTAAGCTATAAATGTTATGTCCCAAAATATAGGAGCCAAAATAGTGAAACCAACTATCCTTAATGTTAGTGAACAGTTCTTCCTTCCCGACAAAAGCTCTGTTGTTGAGTTCTTTCTAAATAGTCCATAAAATGGGTAGGGGAATGAGGCAGACAGCTTTGTTGTTGCCAATGAGCCCTCCCAAGCATTTAGTTCACAAATGACCGAGCCCGCCATCACCCAGTTGATGCCCATAAGGCTGTAAACAAGAGTCTAGAGATTGTAAGAAAAGGGCACCATAGCAGTGGATGACTACAAGATCCAGCAGTGCTTTTACAAAGAAAACATCTGTTCACCAAAATTTTCCCCCTTTTCATAAGATTATCAATAGTCAAGATGCTTATTTAGACATTTCCTAAGCGAAAAATGATACCCTTAGAGGAGCAAGAGTCTTCCATCTGAGTTTGTGAGGGAAGCTGTCGTTCACACCAGTCCTGTAACTGATCAAGATGTTGTACAGAGAGCTGACCGAGAAAGATTTATTCTTAAAGTCCAACAGATTTTGTCCATGTTATCACTGACCTGAACCGTGTTTATAAGGGAGAGAAAATTTTCAAACTCCTCAACCTCCCAGTCTTTTAAATTCCTGCAAACAGATATAGTGCAAACCTTGCGATCGGTGTTACTGAATGCGTCTCCCAACAGAATGTGCTTGTCTTTGGCAAACAATGGAAAACTTGGACATGAGATTTAACTCCCCACACCAGGTATCCTGCCGGAACCAGATTTTATTGCCATTTCCGACTTCCCATCTGGTGAAGTCAAGCACCCTGCTGTGCATGGCCATAATACCTCTCCACAAACTTAAACCATGAGGCCTGTTGACTGAAGTGAGATTACCACTGCACTCCTTTCTCATCCATTTAATATCAATGATCTTCTTCCAAAGGCTGCTATCTTCATTTAGATACCTCCCTATCCATTTTTCATGGAGAGCTTTGTTCATGGTGGTGAGAGATCTTAGCCCCAACCCACCTAACCTGGTAGGGCACTTCACCTCTTCTCAATTGACAAGATGGTATGCTCTTTTACCGTCGACATCACCCCAAAGGAACCTGTTTTGAATGGATTCAAGTTGTTTTGCAACATACACGGGAATTGTGAAGACTAACATATAGTAAATGGGGAGGTTAGAAAGTGTGCTTTTGATGAGTGTTAATCTGCTACCCTTAGAAAGAAATCGTCTCTTCCAACTGGTCAGCCTTTTCTCAAACATATTAATCACAGGAATCCCAATTATTTTTGACTTTGAACCTAACATCCAGTGAGAAGCCAAGGTATTTGTTAAGAAATTGTTTCCAACACAGCCCAGAACATTTGCCGAGTGCTTCCCTTTACTCCCGATTCAATACCCACAAGTTCAGACTTTCTAAGATTGATTTTGAGACCGGAGACAGCTTGAAAACAAAGAAGTATACATCATAGGTTTAGCAGCATCCCAGCATCTGATTCACAAAATATTAAAGAATCATCTACGAAGAAGAGGTGAGTTTTTTCAACCTTTTCACCATTGTTCTCCAGAACAGTGCCCTCCACCAACTTTAAGGCCCTAGCCTTTAAGAGAAATTTGTTAAAGGCGTTCATAACAAGAATGAAGAGCATGGGAGAGAGTTGATTACCCTGTCTCAACCCTCTAGATGCTTAAAAAAAAAAAACAGAAGGGCCGCCATTGATCATAACCGCAAAACTAGTTGTGGCAATGCAAGATTTGATCCATTTTCTCCATTTATACCTAAAACCGTGTCTATACAACAAATAATCCACAAAATTCCAGCAAACGTGATCAAAAGCCTTCTCCAATTTACAGAGTATCCCAGACCTTTTGTTGTGAACCATCCCATCAACCACGTCATTTGCAATCATAAAAGTGTCAGAAATCTGTCTTCCGGCAACAAAGACATGTTGGCATTCATCAATGAGCAAATGAAGGATTTTTGAGAGCCTGTTAGCAAGAACCTTTGTGATCAGTTTGTACAATCTGCTAACTAGGCTGATTGGCCTGAAATCACTAATATCTTTTGCTCTCTCCTTCTTAGGAACAAGGACAGTGAAGGTGACATTTATCGATTTTACAAAGGAGCCTGATCTATGTAAATCAGATAACATATCCAGGACATCTTCCTTCATAAGAGCCCAAAAGGTCTGTAGAAACTTGAGATTGAAACCATCAGGTCCAGGGGCCTTATCCCCATTGCAGCTACAAAAAGCATCTCAAATTTCCTCCTCGGAGAAAGGAGCCTCCCGCTGACTGTGATTTAGATCGTCTAATCTCTCAAAAAGTAGGTTATCCAATTTAAGTATTTGAAAATAATCCTCCTTATAAGGATTCTGGAAAGAAAAAACTTTTGCACCCTCTCTCATGGCCTCATTGTCTGAGATCGAATTCCCCTCAATATGCATCCCATCCACATAATTAATTCTTCTTCTATGGTTTGCAAGGCAGTGAAAGTACTTCGTATTCTTATCCCCCTCTTCCAGCCACTTCTCGCTATATTTTTGTTTCCACGAAATTGCTTCCATATGAAGACTGTTTGTCAATTCTGCTCTCAGCTTGTTCCTTTTCAGTAATTCCTCAAGGGAGAGGCCCGAGGAGCTCTCAAGAGAGTCAAGGTCAGTAAGCTCCTTCATGATATCATCAATGTCCCCCCCCCCACTCCCCCTCCTTGAGGCCAACTCCCTTAGTCCATACTTTTATCTCATATTTAAGCCTTCTGAGTTTGAAAGCAATTCTATAGCTAGCAGTACCCTCAACGACGGTATTGCTCCACACTCTATGCACTAAATCCCTGAAACTATCTACCTTCAATCATTTATTCTCAGACCAGAAAGGGACAGGACCTCATTTTATACCATCAGATGTTAGAAAAATTGGAAAATTGTCAGAGATGGGTCTAGAGAGTATCTTTTGGATCAACCCGATAGAGTGCAGTAGAAATTGGGAGCTACCAGGAACCGGTCTATCCTGAAAAGAAGGGGATCTCTTTGATTACTCCACGTCCACAGTGGNCCCAGAGTCATGTTGCCTACATAATATTCTTTCAAAATAGAATAGAGACAAAAAAAAAAACAAAATATTTTTGTACAATATTCTTAGAACTTTTCCAGAAATTCTTCACTTTCCTATTACCTACATCTAAATAGCACTCTAAGATTACTTCCCCCTTTGAAGATTGCGCTTGTCCTCAAGTGCAAGAACTGATGCTTAAGGTGGATCTCATTGGCTCTCAAACCTTTCTTCAGCCGAAGTGTTGGTTGTGAATGATTCTTCCACTTCGAGCCAGAAGAGCCACTTGCATCGATGGCCGGGCGTGAAATGTTCATCACAGTTGAAGCAGAGGTTCTTTGTACACCACCGGTCTAATTCTTGAGCAGACAACCTTTTAATGGTGGCTGGTCAGGACAGAAAGTTGCAGCAGCTTCAAGGCTGCTATCATTGATGAAGTGCTACCCACTGGAGAAGAATCAAAGGAAATGCTATTGCCACAAGAAGGCATTGAAATACCCACCTCTGTTTTGCAGTAATACTTGCGCGCCAAATTCATTGTTGTCGTCAGATTGGTGGAAAGTGTATTTCCAGTTCTACAGCAATATAATCTTGCAGGCTGCTCAAGAAAATTTCCGCTCCCTGTTCAGATGTCAATGCACTCACCTGTGCTGACAGTAACTCATAATTTCTTTTGAGTAACTCTGAAAAAGTCCCTGTTTGGGACAATTTTTTAAGTTCGCCGAATATATTGGTTCTAATCAGTGGCCCAAATCTAAGTTGATAAAAGTACCTAAATTCTGGTCACCGCAAATTAGGTCGACCACGATCCAACTTCATGGATCAAAGTTGAGCTTCGGCTTCAAGATGAAAGAAGGCCAAAAAGACTTTACCATCTTCCGGTGTAGGTTAGTGATGGAAAAAATATTCACAGCAAGCCCACCATGATAAGGTATCTCCATAACCATCAAAATAAGAAAATCCAATTTGGTGTAACGAGGCAGAAACAAGCAATCAGCATGATGGTGGTACCCGTGTGCGGAAGGGTCACGCTGGACACACAGAAGTGCCTGCATAGCATCTGTTGTTGCACGCAGAGGGGTGTCATGCTGGAAACTTTCCTCCTCGTGCATTTTGGCTGCGGTAGAATCTGTTGCATCCAGCTTGCGTGACTGCTGGTAGTTCGCCTGGCTGCTTCCTTCACTGGACTTCTCCAAAGAAATTCTCGACAACTCCTCCAATTCCCCCACTAAAAAGTCTTGTTCCAGTCTTCTTGATAAGTCTGCAGATCAAACATGGACTACAATTCTCCCATAACTATTTGACTCTGATACCAAATTGATATGGTTCTGACTAATGGATCTATTTATGGGATTATTAACACGATAAATCAGTAGGAAGCACAAAGTTCTTCTTTGATTTCTGCGTTTACCTATTTTAA